AAATACAATAGCACCTACAAAAAACATCTAACTTTGAGGGGCTATTTCTAACAAAGAATTATTGAAATATTAAAATTAATAAAAAAAATAGTTTTATACATTTCTTACATTGTATACATAGGTTACCATTCAAAAATTAAAAGTTGATAGTTGTTTCACTTTTAAAAATAAGTGTTAAACTATTAGGGGGTATGAAAAATGTTAGACTATTGCAACATTTTGATATTTAAAAAATAAAAATTTTAAAAATAAATGTTAGTACTTTTTGAGATGATGATTGTCTTACGTTTAKTGGATTACTCTGTATATCATAATATATTTTTTATCTATATTATTAACTTAAATGTTACAATTTTCAACCTTGAGGGTAGTTTCTTATAGCAAATAGATAATACGACTCATAGTTATTACTCTGATTTGGAAGTGGTGCAGAGTATTTTGTTAAGTGGATATTTATATACGTAGAATTATAATTTAGCATAAACATGGATTATTTTAGTGTTAATGGTTCAGGCTGTATATAATGCCACATGGTCATAAAAAGTGAACAGAATAATAAAATGTTGCGTACGCAAAAACCTGGATACATTATAATATAATATGCAGACGACAGTAGAACGGCCCGGTAGCCAGTATTACAATAATATAATTATGATATTATATATTATATATATATATATATAAATATGTGTAAGGTGAGGTTGGATTTTATGTACATAATAGTCGGACCGCGAAAAAAAGAGAAAAGAAAATTWAATGCATAATATAATTTCCCCGGTCACGTTGTTGGCGATTAGTATTCATTGCGTTTCATCGCGGGTCTCGCGCTAACGCACTTCTCTACCTCTTTCTCTCTCTTAAGTTTTAATGCTAATTGATACGCATTAATCTGTTTAATAGTCGAAGGGATTATAATGTCTGCGGGGGGATGGGATGGATGCTAAGGGGAAGGTCACGCAAACTCCGACGGCGATATGATATATATTATATATATATATATATATATACCTATCTATAATACATAGATACTTAGAGTTAGTGTTTACCGCAACCCTGCAGACGGTCTCTACTTAATGCAATATTGGGATAGGTCAAACATTATACTACAAAGCAATCAATGCAGATAACTGCGGGATAGTTTTAATGTTATATTGTCAAGATGTAGGTACAATGACTGCAGCGATCAAAATAAATCTATAATAASAACGATGACATTTAATTAACCCAAACATACAATCTAATATAATGAATATTACCCATTGTAATTAACAGATTAGCTAGATTCATAAAGTAAATCATCTTTTGTAATACATGTTATTTATTCATTAAAACGTATTGTTCATTTTCACATTTTAAGTTTTTAATCTCAAAGTCATATTGGAAGACAATTGAAAAAATGGTCACAAGTAATACAAAAATATAGTATAAATATCATCAAATTACGTATTGTTTGAAGATGAAATATAAAAATATCCATAAACTATAACTTATCATAATCTATCCTCAAATACCTATATCATGTTTATGCAATGTAATCAAAAAACTACAGTAGTATCTATAAATGAACGAATCTATGAATATTGTAATATGCATAATAATAGTAGGTGCCTATTGTTCTTATTTTCTGGTCATTTCATGTATGAATGAAGCCTGGTGAAAATGGTATAACACTAATTTATTATCTTCAATATTTAATGCTTTAGTTTAACGAACACAATTCTGAGTTTAAGTAACAAATTGCCATCATAGACTTTTTTACATGGTTGCGATTTACAAATAAATCAGAGTATGGAACAATAGATAAAGCTAAGTTACTCAAAAAAATTATTTTGAAATAAAAAGCCGTATGTAACTAACAATAATTATTAATTATTATATAATTTATACAAGATACACGATACTTAGAACTTGTAAGAATCATAATATTTATACATTACTAAATTGTGTTATTGATTGTTATTATTTTTATTCTTTAAACTAAATCCTCGGGAACAAAATAATAAAAATGTTATTATATTCAAATTCAATTGGTCATTTTTAGATTCTGAACGAAGTGATGAAT